TAGTGTACACACACACACACACACACACACACACACACACACACAAATATATATATATATTTGCCCTTTTCCTTCCTTAAGAGAACGCCCTCTCTCTGGGGTGCTTTTTTGTATTTTAATAAATGAATATATATATAGAATATATATTAGGGCTGACCCCAAATAGTTGAAGATTCAGTGTTTTAATGGGCGGAGCCTGATTCAGCTGTCAATCTCACAGTTGAAGCTTCGCAGCGAAGCAAGGATCATGCCATTTTGGCGATATGGGGGTGCTCAACATGTGATTTTACATTGAACTACCAGTTTTCTCCCAATAAGTTAATATACAGCCTATTACAATATACATTTAAATGTTTAATGCTGTAAATAAACACGTAAAATAAAAAAACAACTTTCAATAAATGGTCGTCATTGCGCATGTGTAGGCGTAGCGTATATGTGTGTAGTGGCAGAAGAGGAACACTTGCTGAAGAGACGGAGCCCCAGCTTCACCAGTGTTGTGCTGAGTTGTCTGCACCACGTGGGACTTTCGGATATTTTTATCACCGTTGATTAACCACACAAAGAATATTATATAGTTTTTAAATAGCTATATGTGAATACAGTAAAATTTGTGTCTAATAACGTCATCACTATTGCCAGATTGCCCCTGCCCCCCAAAAAGTCTGTGCACATTCCTGCAACTGGGTGAGGAAGAGCCAAACTCAGCTAACAAGGTAAGGCTGCTGAGGACAGTTTTCTGTCAAAAGTCATACACCATGGCAAGACTGAGCACAGCAACAAGACACAAGGTAATTACACTGCATCAGCAAGGCAGGCAGAAATTTCAAGGCAGACAGGGATTTCCAGATGTGCTGCCGAAGCTCTTTTAAATGAAGCAGCAGATGAAGAACACATCGTGCTTACTTCCCTACGCAATCAGACGATGTCCAGCAGTGGCCATCAGCTCAGAGCTGCAGAAAACAGTGGGACCCTGGTACAGCCATCCACTGTCCAAAGTCTGGTCAGAAGTGGCATTCATGGAAGACTTGCGACCAAAAAGCTATACCTCTGACATGGAAACAATGCCAAGCAACTCATCTACGCATGAAAACACAGGAAATGGGGTGCAGAAAAATGACTTGCTCGCAGAAGGGCTGGAGAGCAGTACAAGAACGAGTGTCAGCATTTCCTGCAAATGGAGTTGGAGATTTGGTCAGAATTAATGTTCTTCTCAAAGTACAGGCAGATACTTATTCATCATGCACAACCATCAGGGAGGCATCTGAAGTGATTGCTGACAAGTAGTCCTGGAAGTGATGGGTATGACCCCCACAGAGCTCTGATCTCAATATCATTGAGTCTGTCTGGGATAACATGAATAGAGAGAAGCAAATGAGGCTGCCTTAATCCACAGAAGAACTATGGTTAGTTCTCCAAGATGTTTTTTACCAACCCACCTGCTGAGGTTCTTCAACAAGACTCACTTTACTCACTTTGCATTTTATTAATTGATAAATCATTTATACTTTACAGCATTTTTCCACACCTGCCTAAAACTTGTATGTGTAAGATATGGACAGAATTTTAGTTTAAGACATAAATAAATTAACCAACTTAGAATGTGAAGGAGTAATACTTCTGACGTAATGTCAAAGATGACTATGTATTGTGTTGCAGGAGATGTGTGAGATCGGCGAGTTTGCAACGTTACACAAGCTGTCTTAGTTTTTTTAGTCTAACAATTAAACAAACTCACAACATGTCAAGAAAGGAAATATTCTATATTTTCCCCTTTCCTCTTCAAGCTGAAAATTAGGTTACAACTTTACATCTTTAATTGAACATGAATATGAAGTTAATTTTGACCAAGGAGGTGTAGTTGGGGCGGTCTTCCTTGATTTGAAGAATTCGATACAGTTTTAATTACCAAGTTATCAAAGTTTAATTTTTCATCTAGTGTCATCAAATGGATACAATTGTACCTTTTAGATAGAAAACAATGTGTTCGCATAGACCATAAAATTCCCAAATGACTGATAATGACTTAGGTCTACCTCAAGGTTCAACCTTGGGTCCTCTGTTGTTCTGTCTGTATATAAACGACCTAACTGAAGTTTGTCCTTCTGAATGTACATGCAAAAAACTAGGAACTATCAGCTTCTATAGTCAATATCTCTAATTGGCTAACAAACTCTTGTTTACATCTTAATACCAGCAAAACTGTATTTATGTTCTTTTCAAAATCTGCAAATAAAGATCCAGACCCAGAGGTTACTGTAGCAGGAAGAACACTGTCAGTTGTACATGAGTTTAAGTATTTAGGTATAATATTAGACACACAACTGACATTTAAATCTCAAGTTAAAAAAGTTGTAAACAGGATTAGATTTAATTTGGTAAATTTTAGATACATTAGGAGTAATTTAACTACACAGGCCTCAAAGTTGTACATCAATGCCATGATATTGTCACATATGAACTACTGTATAACCAGCTGGACGCAAACAGGAAGAACTGCATTACAGTCAGTAGAAACGGTTTATAAACGGGCTTTGAAAACAATGGATAATAAGTCAGATTCATATCAACATTGCAACACAAGCCTAGAAAAATATGGTCAGATTTGCTGATATCTTACTTGTGTACAAAATGTTCCATGGTTTAGCCCCCCCTCCACTCAATTTGTTACACAACACCTTAACTCATCTATCAGAGCTACTTCCAGAGGTGACTGTAGAATACCATATAGGAAAAGTTCCTTCGGACAGTCAGCCTTTTCCTACCGAGCAGCGCGTACCTGGAATACGATACCTACAGAACTAAGAAACATTTCTTTTCTTACCACCTTTTCAAAAGCTATAAAACAGTGGTTACTGGACAATCAAATATGTAGTCATAATGTGTAGTAATACTTTGTAATTGTTTTTTATATATTCCTGTACTTACATGTCGAGGTATTCTACATGTCATATCATTTGTGCTTGTCTGATTTTGTCTGTGCTTATGTAATTTGTGTTTTAATGTTTTATCCATGCTTTAATGTTGTAATAACATCAACCTGCCAGGGACTTCAGATGAAAATTAGTCTGTATGGCTACTGTATGGCTTCTACAGTAGTTTTGCTCTTTTTGAAAATTAGTTTCTTGTTCACTGATGTTTAACTTGGAAAAACACTGAAACACGCACACACACATATAGTGCATACACACATTTCACACATACTTAATAAATGCACATATAGGTTATTCACATGTACTCACCTCTTGATGTTCTCTCTCTCTTTGAACCCCCCTACACACACACACACACACACTCGCACTCACACATCAGTCATGCTTGTGTGAACTTCAAAGTATGTCAAACCTTGATATATTTTGGCGCTGCATCAACTCTATCTCTAAAAATGTGTGTGTATCTTTGCAAATGCGTGTGAGAGTCTGCACTGAATGACGTTTGTGTGAATTGATGCACATCAGCAAAATCAAAGAAGCTGCATTTTTGAAAGACCCCATGTTCCAGAATTACACACAAGGTCTGATGCAAGAGGAAAAAAATGAGGAGGAAATAAACATGAAGGAGAAGAGACAGGTGGAAGAGGAGGGAGGGCAGGAAAACGATGGAAGGGATGGACAAAAAGGTTGATGAGGAGAAGAAGGAAGACATAGCCAAAAAAGGGGAGGAAAAGTTTTCTTCCTTCTGTCTGCAGTAAATGAAAAAAAGATCTGACTGAAAAGACAAAAATGAAAAGAAAGAAGAGAAGAAAACACAAACAGTGCAGTTTGGACTCGAAGAGAAAAAGAGAGAGAGCATGTTTGGTAGCTGGATCTCCAGAGACGCCCACCAAATAAATAACAAATCCTCAAAATGGAGGGATGATGCGAGAGAGAGATGGAGAGATCAAAGGATGTCGGTTTGAGGGAGAGATTTTTTTGTCGCCGGTAAGACAGTGGAAACAAGAGAAACAGGGCGGGAAGAATCAGGGGAGAGGGTTGGTTTCAGCTCCGCCTTACTCCATTTATACACCTGGAAAATCCTCAATACAGTCCAAATATGCAGACCAACCACTGTTAGTAAGATGCAGCCAATCAGAGTGCTCCAGCCCCTGTTGGTGGACTAAAGTTAGAGGTTGAGCTTTATAGGACTTATTGGATAAATTCAGTAATTTAAATAAAATACATTTTTAGATTTTGGATCTACTGTGGTACAGTGTTTTGTGATTGTAACACAGAGCTGTTGAGGTTAATGGGTAATGTAGTATTTAGAGCCATTCAACATGAGAAACGGACAGAAGAGCTTGAATTGTTAGAAAGGAAAAAGTACTGTTTTTTGATCAAACTAGAAAATGATGCTCCCAATCAATACAACTGAATGTGATTGACTGATGCACCTATCAATCAAACCAGCATGCTCCCAGATCCACATTAAGCCTAGTAATCCCCGAAACACTTATTTATTAAAGTACGACTTACTCGATTAAACATTTCTTTGGGATATGACCAAAGCAGTAACTCTGTTTTCTCATCAAATGTCTCTGGCAATTCAAATAAGAAGTATATAAACTGAATTTCTGACAGGGTTAGCCATTCAGTGGACCGAGAAGCATTCACTCAATGCAAAAGTTGCAATACCCCCATGCCGTGCTGCATTACAAGTTCAAGTTTTCATAATATAAAAAGTACTCATTGTGAAGAATGGCCCCTGTCAGAGAGTTTTAAATTATTAATACATTAACCTATGAGAAGCATTTTAATGTTGTAGCAGATCAAAGGGGTGCTACTATATTACTAGCACTACTTCATACTTTTAGGTAGTTTTATGTATAGAACTGCACCATATTGTCTGAGTTGAGAGTATTTGTAAGAAAGTAAAAAGCATAATATTTTCCTCTCACATGTAGTGAACTAGAATAACACAGCTTCACTTACTTGCAATTATTAATTTAAAGTGCATTAAAAATTGTACTTGTAAATAGTTATGTTGTACCTCAAATGCCATAAAAGAAAACGCAGGCACAGCAGTTTATTTCGACGGCTGTTCAGCCATGTTTACTACAGTATTGTTCCCATCTACAGTTATCAGCACAGTTTGTTGAGTTCTTTTTTAACAGCGTCATAGATATTTTCACCACTGGTTTATTTTTCTGCTCGTTCACTCAGAGGATGTTTAAGCAGCATTATCAAAAAAACTTAGAGCACATCCTTACATACATACTGTACATACAATACGTACATACAAACCAAAGCACACATACTCGTACACACATGTCCTAGTATAGCGCCACGCTGGTATATACAGATATATAGAATGAGTAAAAAAAAATCTATTTTCAGTTTATACATCTTAATATAAGAGTCATACCAAAGACATGGCCACTGAGTGAGTAAACAATAGATAAATAGATATAAAACAAATACAAAAATAAATAAACATAAATACTTGCATCAATTAATAAAAGATGATATGAGTTTTTTTTAACTCACTGTTTACTTTTTAACATGATTTGTTCAAGTTGATATATATTCAGCGCACCACTTTTAACTGTTATTTTACCTCAACAACAAAGGACTGGTTCATTATCCAATCAGGGAAAGCGAAGCCTCGCCTTCGCCCATGATTGGGTGGTTGATGCATTATCTGTACATTAGCCTATCGTGTTCGACATGACATAATCGTTGCTGACACGGAGTCATTTTCAGCACCATTAACATCGCCTTGACTGTCACCACTGTACCAACATCCACAGGTTCAGGTAGGACACAACACTGGATAATAAAAGTCTTCTTATCAAGTTAATACCATTAGTCATGTTTAAATTGTATTCCTGATTCCAGAGTAAAAATGACACAGTAGTTTCCCTGCAGAGGAAACACACATATGTCCAAAGTGAGCTTATATGGACATTTTTGCCCTCAGGGTCTCCATTGGAAGTATAACCACAAACCTTGTGAGGATCAGAGCGCTTATATACTTGCCTTTAACAATGTATATGAGTAGCCAGTGATCCTGTAAATGTTGATTGATTACATGATCAGAAAAAAACACAACCCATCTGCAAGATGCAATTAGACACATGAACAATGTGAGCAGTGAAGTAGGGGCAGCAGACTGAGAAAATGACAACAACAATGGTGGAAAGTTTTGAAGACAATCTAACAGAATTTGTCACACACAACGTTTTCACATTAACAACTGAGTAACATCCTTGAGTGTCACTATGTTTAATTATGGAATTTTATATTATTATAAAATATTTTATATTTTAATAATTGGAAGTTCTCAAGTGGGATATTTTTGGTTTCAGTCAGGGGTGATTCGCCCCCGATCTGACCCCTAGTGGAACTTACGTAATCTTCCACAAGGTACGTAGGCAACTATATGAACAATGCTGATTCCACTCTACATTAAAAAGAGCAAGTATATAAACCGCTGTAAGTGACCCTACTCATCAACTTAAAGTACACAAGGTCGGAAAATCTTCTCCTGGAGCCCCTTCAATACCTCAGAATATACACATGCATCATCAACATAAAGGTGATAATTAAAACCGCACTGCATACTGCAACAACAAGCACAGGGATTTTTTTCCCCCAGGTGGCAGCAGGAGGGACCTGTTTTGAAGTCTTCACTACTCAAAAAGTTAACAGTATACTGCTTAAATCTACAGGAAATGTTTTCTTCCTATAGTTAGTCAGGGTGAATACGGTGAACATGTTCATACATGTTCGACATTTTTTTTGAATGAAAGGCTTTTTGTTAACAAGATATCTTCAGTTTTTCAGTTAAATTTGGATGTTGATAAAACAATCTGCATCAGCATTGAGATGAGCAAGGGGAGTACCGATATTAAAATTCAAAAAGATGTCATTTTAAGTCGTCCAAAGATGGTGCTTGTCCTGCTTTGTAAACACTAGAATCTAAGTATCTTTGACACAAGTTCACAGCAGTTCAATACGAGTTTTTACTGTGCCATAATATTTTGGTTTTTGTGCTCGTGTCAGTTAACCATGAATTGGTGACCCCCTGAACGTTGGCATCTTCCAAAATGCTTGTTGAGTTGTAATGCAAAAAAATATTGGTATAACAGCCACTAAGGTTAAAAAACAGTTAAACTAAATTACAAACTGAGAGCCTTTATCACTTCACAGTATCTCAAATGCATCTTTAAAAGTGTTTTGATGAGCATGCTTTTATGCTTTTTTTGAGATGCATCAGGGTCACATAGGGAATGTAATGTTTTTTAGAGAAATGGTTTTGAGTGCATTGCTAACAACCCCAACACCTTCTGCTGTCTTTATCTAAAACAATCACAACACTGGTTTAAATGTTTCTGGGATAGACTTAAAGAGCTCCCACTTCACAACAAATCAGATCACCTAAAATCCACAAACTAACCCTAAAGGCTTTTAAATAAAGAAAATGTATTTGAAAAGAACTTCAAAGAGAGACTGTCGAAGAGAAATCTGTTGTGTAATATGAGACAGGACAGAAGTTAGCTTTGATGCTAGTGATTTTTTAAAACTGTTCTTCCTTCAGGTATTGTTGCTGACCATGCTTGACTTTAACAGGATCCAGCTGCTTCTAATTGATAGTAACACTCTTTCACACCTGTGTTTAAACTTCGACCTCTGAAATTGGTTGATTTTGTTGCTCCTTGCTTCAGGGCATCGCAACAGCAGTTTAAAGGTGCAAAGAGAAGTTCTCATCAGTTCTTACCATTTCATTTTCCCCCCGATCAGTCTACTGATGAAGTAAAGTCAGTCCACATATCTACTTTGAATCAAAGGCCTGTACATGGTTTCATTTTGTAAACAAAATAGCCTTTCAAAAAGTCTGTAACAACAAACAGCAGCTATTGCTAACTAGCTAGCCTGCAAAAATATCATGGTACTTTGCATCTTTGAGGTTTTGTTACCAGTTTTCCTACACTGTTACTGTACCACTGACTGTATGTGTTTTCACATTCCTACAAACCGTTCTAGGTTTCTTTAGGGTCTGTTGACCTGATTGAAAGACATAGCCTATCTCTCGTCAGCTACTGTTCTCCCTAAAAAACAAACACTGGAAAATGTTTTCATAGCACGAGTTTGCTCATGATATCCTTCATACCCCTACATGGTATGTATTCCAAGAAAAGTGGACAACATTTAGACTCTTACGAGTAAACGAAGCTTCTTCAACCAAAAATCATTCCTCACTTAACTACAGCTTATTGTAATAGCTTATCTGACATCTGCATTTATTCAACTGTACATCACAGGCCTGTTTGTGGTGAGTTACAGCATGTCATATTGTCGTAGCCAAAGCAGAAGTCATCCACCTTACATCCAGTCCTGATTGATTTTTCAAAACAAGTCCTTTCTCAGGTTGGGGGTGACAGTGGGATCTAAACAGTGGGACTTTTGCTATGGCTGCTTCCATATGGATGGATGACTGTTATCACTTGTAATTCAGGCATACATTTCATAAACCATCTGGACCTAGATTGTGAGACTTGTGAGCCTACATTTCATGGACCTTGTGTTCTCATGAGACAGGTGTACAGTGTTGACCACATTTCTCTTTAGACACCACGAACAGAATGCTCGAAGGACAGTAACCAAAGTTTGTTAGGGACATGCAAACTTTTGGAATCAAGGTGGTGTAAAAAAATTATACTAAATCTTCTCTGCCTCCCTCCTAAAACCAAATTAGTTCCTGTTAAGTATAAATGTACCATACTCTCACAAAACAAAGCACACTCATTTAGCAATGAATTGGTGATTTTGAGGTAAAAATAAATCTACCTGCTTTGGTTAAAACTAGGCTAAATGTGGTTGAAAAGTGAAATATCTACGTTATAGTTGTTTCATTCACATTTTTAATATATATTATCCTGTATTTATGTCCTGTTTCACTTCAACATATTAATTTAAGTGCTGTTGAAACAACATATCTAACCTATTATATGCAACCTAGATTTCTAAAAAAAGCTAGACATCACTTTTCAAACAAATTCAGCACAGTTTGAACCTAGACGTCTAGGTGAATTCTGACCTGCAAATCTCTAAAGCAATATTTATTAGATAATGATTCCCTATTTTTTAGTCAGTGTCTAATTTGCTACCAAACCAAATGATTGCATGTCCTGTGCAAACTCTAGCAACTAGTCTCTAAAAGCTCCTTGGTAAGTCTCTGTTGAGTCTCCAGGATCCGAGGCTCAAGTTCATGCAGCAGACAGTTTCTCAAATATGTCAAGCTCTGCAACTTCATTCCTCTCAAATCCTTTTACTTCTTGTTCTGACCGTGCAGGATGAAACTAAATCTAACACTCCTTGGTCCCAGGATGAGAGATTAAATGTCTCACCTCCAAGCTTTTAGAAAAGGTGAAGATTATCCCAGTTCAGTATTATTCTATTTACTTCCCCGGCTCATTCATGCTACTTACTCCTGTACTGTAGCCTAAGGGGAGAGCCTTGGTCCCAGCTTGCGCTTTACATTTTACAATCAAGTTTGACAACCTCTATTCTTAAAGAGTTGCCTGACACTCAGTGTCTCCTTTCCATGCTGCCCCTGGGGTAGGTAGTCCTGGGATGAGAACTGATCTCAGGCTCAGCCTTGGTCCCAGACTGCACTTTTAAATTCAAGAGCCCCTGTTGGCTTAGACAGTTGTTTCATATTCTAATACCTCTTTGCTGCCCATCATGCTACTTCTGTACTGTATCCTGGGGCTGACGGCTGATGTGGTCTCCAGAAGCAGAATAGTCTTGCGGAGGCGCCGGTCAATAAAGTGCGCATCCCAGGCCGGATATCGCTTTCTCGGAAGGTCGATACGGATCACTGGGCCGTCCTGTGCACGGGATGAGGAGGAGGTCCTGTGAAGGAGTGCAGGAGAGGAGGAAGGGGAGGGACGTACTTGGAAGACAGGCAGGCAACTGTCCCTGTCTCTGTCTCGCTCCCCGGGAACCGGCTCCCCTGTGTCTTTAGTCCTGGGGAGAGTCCTTGGAGGGCTGGTGATGACCATGTCTGTTTGGGACCCTTGGGATGGGGTGAGGCAGGCATCAATCACTCCTGCTACCCCTCCCGCACCCACTACACCCTCGTCCACACATCCTCCCCACTGTGAGCCCAGAACGGGCCCATCAGGGTGCAGCCAGCAGTAGTATACTAACATGAAGAAGGTTCCCAGGGCAAAGCTGCAGGCCACCAGGCACACCACCACCAGGGCGTAGGAGTCGGAGGTATGTGGGCCACGGTAGGTGTACCAGGCAGCAGTCAGTGCCACATTCTCAGCCAGCGTCACAGAGTAGTAGACGGTCATACGGAAGCGGCTGGGGCCTTCCTTGACATTGAACCAGCAGAAGATGTAGATGATGCCCACCACCATGTTGTAGATTATCTCCTCCCACTTGGACATGCAGAAGTCAGTCTCACCTTGGATGATCCAGAAGGTCATGACACACCTGAAAGACAATAAACAATAATGTTAGTACCAGTCATCACAAAAATTCACAGGAGGCGTAGAAATGTTACTAAGAATAATAGTAAATAACATGGACACCTTTAAAAGGACAGCTCTAGTGCATGACACAACTTCATAAAGCTAATAAAAAAGGCGTCAGGAGTCCTGGTGATGCATTTTTGAATAAGTGGTGTTCAGTACAAGAATTTGATCTAGACTCCAAAGGAAGAGGATCAGATTGTCATGAATTCCCTGGTGGATATTCATCATTTCTAGAGGATCCTGCTAATGATGGCCAACATTTCCACTGGTACATTAGACATATCAAAATCTAATGATCAGATTGACATTATATTCACTGAGCTCATCAATGCTCTTCAGGGAAAGCACATTTGTGATTTTAGAAACCTCTATCTGCATTCCTATAGCATAACATGACAAAATAACTAATAACACAAGGTATCTCGTCGTCTAATGGGCTGATTGCGATTACATTTTATGAGAAGATTCGTGCCTGAGCTTTTTTCTGACCTCTTAACCAACCGCCCTGCAATAGAGTTTCATCAAAATATATATATATATATATATATTTTTTTTTTTTGTCACTTTAATAAAACTGTAAGTATTGTTCATTAAACCTAAAGAGGTTAAATAAACTGTCTGCTTGGGGACTGTCAATAGAAATTATAGAGCCTCTCAGAGTGCAATAATGTGTTCAAGACATGTGTCCATGTCTTTAGTCCCGGGGAAAGTCCACTCCAAGATGACAAGATTAGCATGGCAGGATGTCATTAGTCATGTTATAGGATATTTTGTTGTGATTTAAATAATGATCTAGATATAAAGGGATATTCCATCCATTCCATCCTTAACATTTCAAAACAGAACAGAAAAATTAATTCATGAAGCTTTGAATGTTGAATATGGGCTCACAGAACACCACATTCTTTCACTACCAATTTCATGAATCTATAAATAACCACGATGAATGGGGGAGGAGATATATAAATTAACCGCTACTCAGTGTAGAACAACTATGAGCTGGTTGAGAGGCTTATAGGATATATAAGGGGATATATTTACAGTCTTTACTATTTACAATCAATGGTTGGGTAATAATTATAAACTGGTACTAAGCCCTCATAGAATATTTCGTTCTGGTTACTAGAATTGGGAGAAAGCAGCAAAACACATTCGTGATTTTCTAAAGTGTTGAATGCTAAGCTTCTCGTTATGAACCCAGACTCTTTGCATCAGGTCACATATAGCGCACCAGTGGCTGACGATGAATATGCCAAAGTAGAGCTGGAAGACAGAGGCGAAGAGGGCAAAGGCCACTGTCCTTGCTCCGATGGTGAAGAAGTGCCACAGCATCTGGGTGATCACAGCCTTGTAGGACATGGGCAGCTTGTCGTCACGGGAGTCCCGGAGAACCTTCTGGTAGGAGGCAATCATCCAGGCCAGAGAGACCAGGGAGGCCGAGGCTGAGAGACCTGAAGAGACAGATGACGAGAGTAATAAAGAAGAGCAAGGGAAGGAAGAGGCACACATAGAAAGACATTTAAGTAATAGAGAGGTGAAAGAATAAAATGATAGAAAGGGAGATAAAAAAAACATGCAACAAAGCCTAATTATAACATTAAACACCAATATTTCAGTCAGATTAACTGTGAAACTTTATGTACAAGTGAAATTGATCGATGGGTTCTGAAGTAAAACCAGTAATATTGTAAGACGGAATTATAATGTACCCAACCTCCCGGTTTAGTCAGTCAATATTGATGTACTGTATATGTTGGCCGACAAGTACGGAGAAACTGCAGTACAGAAATACCTAATATATTTTTAAGGTTTCAACATTGGAAACAGTAATAATAATAAATCTTAACTCCACTTGTAAGTGGAGCAGACCTCGACATGACAGCTGACCATTCGCGAATGAAGACTGAAAGATGTGATTAGAAGCTTTGAGTAGAAAGTTGACCTTGAGTTATGATGACCACATTTTGTCCCTGACCACAGAGCGCTGACAAGTTTATTTTTGATCCCACTCTGTACATATTGATAACAACTCATTTTCAAACTATTTTGATTATGTTGTGTTTTCATATTTAAAAAATAATGACTATTGGCTGATTTATCACTATCTGAGTTAATGAAATGAAAAAGATTCATCCTTTGGAGATGTGTATTTAAAACATCAAACAAATTTGAAATATCTTGTTTGCAAAGTGGAAAATGTTCATGATGTTGGTGATAAAGGAGAGGTTCATCAAAAACATAAGGAATCCTGTTCTTGGGGTCATGAATATCTATATCAAATCTAATAACCAGTACCAAATTAGTAAACTAGTAAGCAATGTGAGAACAACTTAAGATGGCATAATGTCTAATAATTATTAAATCACTAATCAATTGATGCTTAACTGCAAATACACACTTTACACCTTTAAATGAATTACTAGTGATAGATCTTTAGAAACACTAGTTGTTACAACAGCAAAGAATTACCTACAATCACTGAATAATGGAATTTCTCCCCCCTCGCTCATCCAAATGGATCTGAACCAGCTTATACTGAAGTCAAATGATCACTAGCCCGCACACGTAGTGGTGAGACCCGCCGCAAGCTGCCCAGAGTGCAGTTTAACACATTAAACATTCATGTGTGTTAATCATGCAGTCTTGTCTCAAATTAGCCGTGAATCACACTGAGAACACATTAAAATTTGAGCAGAGAAAGAGCTGCACTGACTTTGAAAGAGCTTAAAATCATTTACCATTATGTCATGAAGAGACTTTGATGGATTATAGATAATAACTTTTCTTTATTCTTTATTGGTAATTGCAAATACTTTGTAGTGACTTCCCAAATGGAAATCTGTAGCTGTGGTCAATTTAAATTGCAACTGATTCCGATGGACCTCCTGACCATTAAGCTTGCAGATGCTGGCATGTGCTCTATTTTAGTTTTATTAGATTTAATTGCAGCGTTTGACATGATTGACCACTGAATTCTTATTGACAGGCCGAGACACTGAGTCAGAATTCCCAACACTGCCTTAAAGTGAAACCTCTCCTACCTAGAACCCCACCCCCCAGAATATGTCTGGGTCCTATTTTATTCTTTCTCTATTTGCTCCCTCTGGGTAATATTATTTGCCACCATGTCACCTCAATAAATGTTTATGCAGATGGCACACAGCAATGCCTTCCAATAAAGCCCACTGACAATTTGTATGCTACAGTCAATGCAGATATCTTATGTCAAAAAATGGATGCAACTAATTTTCTTTAGCTTAATCCAGACAAGACCGATATTCTTATTATTGCCTCTCAATATATTGTTCAGATTGCAACGCCAGTCCAAGTCCATACAAACTTTCACAAACTCCTCGAGCAGTGGCCTTTTAGCCATTCCAGTGTTGAAGCTAAAGACCAGGGGTGATGAAGACTTTTCCGTCAAGGCCCTGATACTCTAATACGTAGAACATCATTTACTTGTATATTTTGTCCTGTCACTTGTCTCTGTACTGGTTTTATTAGATCTTAGTGCTGCATTTGATACCATTGACCATCAGATCCTATTGCAGAGACTGGAATATTTCATTGGCATTAAAGGAACCGCTCTAAGCTGGTTTAAGTCCTATTTATCAGATCGATTTCAGTTTGTACATGTTAACGATGAGTCCTCCATGCACGCCAAAGTTACTCATGGAGTTCCTCAAGGATCTGTCCTTGGACCAATCCTCTTCACTTTATATGCTTCCTTTAGGCAATATTATCAGGAAACATTCCATAAGCTTTCATTGTTATGCAGATGATACTCAGTTATATCTATCGATCAAGCCAGATGAAACTCATCAGTTAGCTAAACTTCAAATGTGCCTTCAGGATGTTAAAACCTGGATGAGCTGTAATTTTCTTATGTTAAACTCAGATAAAACTGAAGTTATTGTTCTGGGGCCTAAGCACCTCCTTGACGCATTATCTAAAGATATAGTTTCCCTGGATGGCATCGCCTTGGCCTCCAGCACCACTGTGAGGAATCTTGGAGTTATCTTTGATCAGGACATGTCGTTTAAGTCCCACATTAAGCAAATTTCAAGGACCGCCTTTTTTCACCTACGTAATATTGCGAAAATCAGGAACATCCTGTCTAAAAATGATGCAGAAAAACTAGTCCATGCATTTGTTACTTCTAGGCTGGATTACTGCAATTCCTTATTATCAGGCTGCTCGAAAAAGTCCATTAAGACTCTTCAGCTGATCCAGAATGCTGCAGCACGTGTTCTGACAGGAACCAGGAAAAGAGATCACATTTCTCCTGTTTTAGCTTCTTTGCATTGGCTTCCAGTAAAATCCAGAATAGAATTTAAAATCATTCTTCTTACCTACAAAGCTCTTAATGGTCAGGCACCATCTTATCTTAAAGAGCTCATAGTACCTTACTACCCCACCAGAGCACTGCGCTCCCAGAATGCAGGGTTACTTGTGGTTCCTAGAGTCTCCAAAAGTAGACTAGGAGCCAGAGCGTTCAGCTATCAAGCTCCTCTCCTGTGGAACCAGGTTCCAGTCTGGGTTCAGGAGGCAGACACCATCTCCACATTTAAGAGTAGGCTTAAGACTTTCCTCTTTGATAAAGCTTATAGTTAGGGCTGGCTCAGGTAGTCCTGAACCATCCCTTAGTTATGCTGCTATAGGCCTAGACTGCCGGGGGATTTCCCATGATGCACTGAGCTCCTCTCTCCTCTACTTTCTCTCCCTCTGTATGCAACCTTATCCCATTATTGCATGTTACTAACACAACTTCTCCCCTTTCTGGTAGTCTTGTGCTTTCTCGTCCCTCTCCTCTCTCCTCCTATCACTTCCTGCAGGTTTTCTGGCTCTGGAGCTGTGGAGTCTGGATCTGTGGCTGCGGGTCGCCTGCTGCCCCCGTGTTTCTGCTCGACACCCTCTACTGCAACGACTATTGTTAGTGCTAGTCTTATTGTTATTATAATCATTAACATTACAATGGTTACCATTAACACTATTATAAATATCTGTACCATTTTTCATTTAGTTTATAGCAACATTACCTTCGCTGTCTGTACCTCTGTGTGTATATTGTGTAGGCTGCCTCCCTCCCCTCTCTCTCTCCTTACATCCCTCTCTCTCTCTCTCTCTCTCTTTTCTCTCTCTCTCTCTTTCACTCTCTTTTTCTCTCTCTTTCTCTCTCTCTCTCTCTCTCACCCCAACCGGTCGAGGCAGATGGCCGCCCACCCTGAGCCATGGTTCTGCTCGAGGTTTCTGCCTCTTAAAAGGAAGTTTTTCCTTGCCTCTGTCGCCTAGTGCTGCTCTTGGTGGGAACTGTTGGGCTTCTGTAAATATCATCACAGAGTACGGTCTAGACCTGCTCTTTTATGAAAAGCGCTGTGAGATAACTGTTGTTGTGATTTGGCGCTATATAAATAAAATTGAATTGAATTGAATTGAAAAATTGAATCATATAAACTGGGTACAGTTGGAATCTGACATGAATCCAAGATGACCGCAGGCAATGAACAACCGCCCCCACCTATTGATAATGGAGCTAATAAACCCCATCTGAGTTTACAGGTCAGACCACTGAAATGCAGCTTAAGAAAATAAACCAAAGCAGCTATACATGAAATGAACCCAAAGCAAAGGGATTCATGGGTAGAAAGAGACAGATGCACTTTGTTAAGCTTGGAAAGCCCAACAAATCCCAACATTTGGAGAAACTGGAACCAGAAAATGTTTGGGATTTGTACTAACAGATGACTTTTATGATTAATTGGCAGCACTGATAGATGATTAATTTGATTGGTTGGGTTATGTATTAACTTATGAGCCATATAAGCGCTACAATGATGTAGGCTGCATGGGAGAGTATGTACTGTGTCATGTAAGAGCCCACATTTAAAAATATGACTATTATGTTACTATTACTATTACTATTAACAGATGGTGGGTTACCCAAATAGGCAGAAATGTGTGTACATGTGCGCTGACACTGTATCTGTGTGAGGACTTTAGGTTTAAGACCTTGAGCTCTTTCAGCTCTCAAACAGCTCTTCATTTATTACCACTTCTTCTGGTCACTGCCTAAGTTAGATTCGTATTTGTTGCAAGAAATAAATATGCAGAATTCTTCATCTTTAATACAGGCAGGCAAAATCGTTCACTTAAAGAAGTCTTTTGTGACTGACTCATCACTAGTCCGCACCTATTCAAAGGGCTGTTTGAGGTTTAAGACATGTTTAAGGTTAGAATTATGTTTAGGGAAATGGTGAGAAAATTATTATTATGTCAGTGAAGATCTTCACAAGTATACAGTAAGGTGTGGCCAATGACTTTGCAAGATCATGACCTAACTTTACCAGAACTGCAGCTCTGAACCGTAGTGGGAGACCACTGGTTCTAGCATGGTTCTAGCTAGGTAACATAGCATCCATGCACGTTGGCAGATAGACACTGTTGAATATGAAAAAAAGATTAATTTCTATTCTGTGGCAGTAAACACAACACAAGACATTCAGACCTAAGGAACCAAAATGTTAACCATGACAAACACTATAGCGGCTGAACTAAAACGTTGACCTGGCACTCCCTCACACACACTTGGAAATCTGCTAGCCCCGATATAACAAAGGCATCCACACAGAAACTCTCTCAAATGGCCATAAATGTGCTTCTATTAACTGTCAAAGCTCCACTGGACTTCCTTTCTTTCCAGCGGAGAAGCGGAGAGCCTGACAGTAGCTGCTCATGGCTGGTTTGCTCTGATGACCGGCACTTCGGCCTAGCACATTGCTGTCCATGCTACACTGAGCTGATACGTCAGTCCCCCCTGTCCCTCCCCATTGAATTTGAGGTACGCTAACACATTTGGGAACGCACATCACTTTGTGTGTAACGTTTCATGTCTGTCTGTGTGTTTTTACAATTCAGATATGCATCTGACAGGTGTGTGTGAACGCTGACAGCGTATACAATTTGTGTGTGTGTGTGTGTGTGTGTGTGTGTGTGTGCCTGTGTACCTGGGTCTGAGAGAGAGAGAGAGAGTATGTTTTGTTTTATTCATCAAAGGCCAATCTGCTTCTTGTAAGAGGTGCATGAATAAAGCATAGCTTCTCCTACTGATATATGCCCATAACACACACACACACACGCACACACACACACACACACACACACACACACACACACAGCTTCCTTCTCAATTAAATCTCACTCTAACTCTCTCTGTCTCTCTAACCATCAGTTTTCTTAAAGGATAATTTGGTAATTTTTGGGTCTTGTTTCATATAATTTTTTTTATTTTCATAATTTTTAACAGTAATAATATAATTTTGCTAAAAAGGTTTACTGCTTAGGTCTTGAAACGTATTGAGCACTAAAAACTAAATCTGGCTTCAGTACTTTACAGAGTTCTCTTGTGCAATGAGGAGTTATTACTGTCATTTCAAGTGTACTCAATTTTAGCTGGACCTCCAAATCAAGTGGTTAAAATAATCTGGCATGTTTACAGCCCTTCTTGCTAAATCTGACTTCAGTATAGTGATATTGCTGTGTCCCAGATTTCAGCAATTAACTTGGTGACTTCTCACAGTGAAGCAGGGATTGCATCTCACTCACCTTGCAGAGGGAGGACGGCGTTTCCGTGGATCATGATGCTCAGCTGGAGGACGAGCTGCGGAGCCGACTTCAGGAAGGCTTCAAGGAGACGGAGCATGGTGATGTCAGCACTCTCAAACATCAGGCGCCAGTGGAAGTGGCGACGGGGCCCGTTGCCGTGCCAACGGCTCTGGGCGCCCAGATAGAGAGCATGGATGTATCTAAGGATGAGAGACAGGGAGATAGTAATGCATGTTGCTTAATCATTTCTTTATCATCCCTGAAACTGCTTCTTTCAGAAGATCATTTTCCAGGACACTTTCTGGAGATTTTCAGAAAGCAAAAAGTAGAAACCAGCACATTGTTATTTGATCCCACAATGTTTTTTATTTTATTTTCTGTTGCTGTGCATTGTTTCTATAAATCAGATTTTCTTCAGGCACAAAAACGCACAAAAACCCATCTCATTGCAGTATATACACATATCTCAAAATGATGGTAATCTGCAACAGGTGACCGAACTGAAAAGCCACTGGTAGCCATACATGTATCTTCTAAAAAACAATGATTGATCACAGGTGTCAACAATTGAGTCCAAAACAATATGATAAACAGTCAGACACAACCTCATAGGGTTTTGCCACCACCCAAATACAATGGAGACAAATAAAATTTTATAGTATTAAAAAAAGTATACCAATAATGTCCCAGATATTCTGGAGAATCCACAGCAGGAATCTCAGTTGAGCAGATTAAACAACAACAACTGTCAACTTTTAAGGACCAGTTCATCCAAATTACGTTCTATAGCTAAACACAAAAGAAAAAGACTGCCAGTTCTTCCTGTTGTTTGACAGATTTAAATCTTTCATCTGTCATTTTCCAGTAATGTTAAGTGTACAAACTCCATAACACAGTATATTGTTTACATTCTGTATATATATATATATATATATATATATATATATATATATATATATACAGGGAGTAATCAATTATTGAAAAGTGAAAAACAACAGGATGTCAGTTGTTTTTTGTTTACACCGTGGTGCTAAAGTGTGATGAAGGCAGTGCAGATATATCAATAATGCTAAAAATGCTCAGTTTTGCTTGGATATTTTAGAGCATCAAGCATCATCTGACAAAACAGTATAAACATCTGAATCCCATCTTCAAGGAGAAAACTTTCTGCATGCTGTTCTCCTGGGAGAAGTGTTGTGTGTTTCTCCAGGGAAACATCTTCACCCTCACCTGTCACTTTTCAGCTTATGCTTTTGTTTGATGCATTTTTTTGTGTGTCAGTGAAAGTACTGGTTGGCAGGTCAACTGGCGCAGGCTGGATAGTAGCCTCGTTTTTTTTGTTATTGTTGTTGTTTGTTTTGTTTAAATCTGGAGACAAATTTTGATGTGAGGGGAGGAGGTACAGGACTGTTCTTTCACCTGCTGGTCCAGCATGAGGTCTGCCTTAAAGAGATGCTGCTGTCAGTCAGGAACAGGAGTGGAATTTTATAGAAAAACACACGATAACTTTTTGGAAAACAGGGAGATAATATGACTTGGGAAATAGTGTTACAAAGCAGTTGTTTTCTTTGCATTACAAAAGTTACCACTATTAATGATAACGAATGCTTACAGCATCACGTATGTGATAGAAAAAAATAATAATTTTATATGTTTTCAGTTACATGACTGGTGTTAAATAAAATGGAAGTTTATCTGATACCTTAGACTAGTGTTTTCCAACCTGGATGTTGGGAACTCAAAAGGGGTCCCCCAGATAAACCTGAGTGGTCACAAGCCATGTTTCCACCTAACTATCATCCGAATTTTAAGCGGACTTTTGACATGTTGCAAAAAAGAAAAAATAAGTATATGTGAAATAGGTGCTTTTCCGTCAGCTGGTTTGGAGCAAATAAACCAGGCTACAGCAAGCGTAGTTCCGTCAGTAGTTGACGTTACACATGGCTGTAATAAACAAGACGTACGGGTTCCAAACCAGAAACAAAACCAGTCGCATGGACCTGAGGACAATTAATCTTAGAAAAATGGGGAGATGTGAGTTACAAGTTCGGTATGTCAGAACTTATTCGGCGTAAGTGTTTCCATCTCCCATTTTGTGCATTTACTCTTCTTTGACAAAGACAAAAATCACCTCAAGTAAGAGTAAAAACCTTTTTGCGAAATTAAAGATTTTGCCATTTCCATCAACCTTTTCTAATGTGATGCTTCAAAATGCACATAAAAACCTTGACGGAAACACAGTTACAGGATGACTGACAAAAATCTGCCTTATTTTCTCTGGTAACTTGAATCATTACAGTTCTTAAAACAAGTAAAACCATCTGCCAGAGAATATTTTTAATTTTTCCAAAGGCAGTTTTTTCTTCTGTTAAGACCAGCTACCTTCCTTCTTTCAAGACACATTCTTCAAACAAGTTGATTTCTATGGAAAACAAATTCTCACTGTCCTTGCTGATTTCTTGCATTTGTTTTAAATAAATTAGGTTTTTAGTAGAGGATATTTTTAATGGGATATGCTAGAAAAACAAAACGTTTTTAAATGCTTTTCTTCTTGCTAAATAGTTCCACCAAGTAATAATCTGTGAGGAAGGGTCTCCATGTAGACATTGCTTAATTTTAAGGGATCATGTTAAAAATGTGGTTGAAATGCATCTGTATATTAGTGTGTATGGGATGAAGGACAGTTGCGTCATGGCAGAAGAGGATGGCAGACAGTAGTAGTAGTACAGCTGGACAGACGTGTCATGGAGGAGAAATGAAGCTCAACGGAGGAAAAGTGAGACGACACTCACTTCCTGCACTTCTGCATCCCCAAGCAGATTTTAAATCGAGGGGTAAAAATAACCCAGAAGTGTATGCACACACACACACACATACACACGTCAGCATATATGACGACGTTCAAGGCTGCATAATACAGACAAGCAGGGCTACGCATGTGACAGACAGGCAGGAAGGCCTACGAGGCAGCCGGGAAATCAGTAGCTCTGCAAATAATTTGCTGTTCAAGCACCGCCGGCACTCCTTTATCCAATCCCTATATCTCTCTCTGTCTCTCTCTCTCAATCTCCACCTCGAGAAATCTTTGTCTCTGTTTTAGTCTTTCACCCTTTTATCTCTTTTATATTTGATCTTATTATTGATTTGTCCTGTATGTTCATCTTCCTGTTTTTCTTATTGTTTTTTTGTTTTGTTTTTAGGGCCAGAGATGACAATGTTGTTGGGCCAGTGAGTCCACCACTTTGGTCCGGACTTAAATAACTCAACAACTTCAGCACTATCATCAAGTGAAAATTTTTAACTGTTCAATACTTTGGATTGTGACCAAACACCCGCAGAACGCACAACATATCAGCCTCAAGTGTACTTTGTTTTTACAGCTGATTAGCTAATATTGGCATGCTAACGCGCTAAAATAAGTCGTGACCATGGTAGACATGCCTGCTTTTCTTGTTCGCATTGGGATTTTGAGCATGTTAGTATGCTTACGTTAGCATTTAGCTCAAACCAACACTTGGACTAAGTCTCACAGAGCTGCTAGCATAGCTGTAGGCTCTTAGTCTGGTCATTTATTTTCCCATCATCTCTTTTTTGTTTATCTTTCTCAAATTTGGATGCGGCTATTGTCGAGATCCCGAGTTCCCTTTTATTTTGTTTTGTTCTTTAACATACAGAATATCATTACCCTTATTTCTGTAACTGTGTGGGTACCTATCTTTCTGTTCTCCCGCTATTTATCCGTTTGGTCTTTTCCTTTCACTTGTCACCTTTCTTACTTGTCCAGTATCTCTTTCATCACCTACCTGTCTTTCAGCATTTTTTTTTTATTATTTCTCAATTTATCTTCATCTTTCTCTCTTTTTTGCCTCCTTTGCTTGTTCATCATACAGCTATTGCCTCCCTCTTGTCTCTCTCTCTCTCCCTCCATCCAATTTATTTTGTACTTCCCCCAGGCGTTCTCTCTGCCTCAAGCTTCCAATCTATCAAATCTATATGAATCCTCTTCTCCTCCTTCACTCTTCTCCCTCTATCACCCCTATGTTATTTCTGCTCCTCTTTATCCTCCTTTCACTCTCACCCCACTGTCCCCTCTCTGCTCTCTCCTCTCCGCCAGAAACTCTACTATCTACAAGGCCACAGTCGGACCGCTGAGACCGTAAGCGTTTGTGAAAAGAGCTTGTGTGTGTGTGTGTGTGTGTGGTGTGTGTATACAGTAGAGTCTCAGAGAATTGCTGCCAAGTATGATGGCGAGCCAAGAATGAAGCCAAGGAGAGAGACTCACACAGAGAAATTAAACTGTTACACACACTTCATCTAAATCTCTTTTAAATTAATTTTATAGGTCAGAAGATGGCACACCGCGATCAGCAGCAAAATGGAGACACAGGCAGATATTTGTAATTTAACTCAAAGCACCCGAAATAGCAGCAGCTCTTTAACATTAGTCCAATCAGGAAGCTGTGGAATTATCATTTCATTTCAGACAGGCAGTGGGTCCATTTACTCATTGGAGGTACTTGTACTAGTTTGCTTTAATTTTTCTTCTCATGCCACTTTTTACTTTTACTTTACTACATTTCAGAGGGAAATATTGTACTGTTTTACTCAACTACAGTTATCTGGCCGCTTTAGTTACTTTACAAAGGACACAAAACACATGACAGTACATTAAGTACAGCTGAAATGATGATAGTCCGTTAATCAATTGCCAGACAGGTAATTGGCAACTATTTTTATTACTGTTGCGTAATATTATGACTATTGTCCACCAGTTGCAAAGGTGATAGTAGCATGACGTTATAGTGCAAACTGTGTGACATGAGAGACAGTTGTTCATATTATAATATGAATATTATATAGTATAATATAATGTTATATAAGATAATATTAGCAAATGATTTTTTCACCAGCACATGAGCCCTTTTTCAAAAGCCTGTATTTAATTAATTAAATCAAGGCTTGTTTAATGCACTTTATGGTTGAATAAATGTGTACAACCGCTACTTATGTGTACATTTGTTCTGGGACTGTTTTTCCTAGTTTTGGCAAAACCTCTTAATTCAAATGAAGGGAAATCTTAACGATAATGATATTTTAGATAATAGTGTGCTTCCAAAGTGTCTGGGGACGACCCATTCGTGTTTCAACATGACAAAGCCCCTGTGCACAAAGACAGGTCTATTAAGAAATGCTTTTGTCA